GACGTACCGCTGCAATGGGCCAGCCCAAACAATGAGGTGTTTACTAACCAGTTCTCTGTTGTGAACGCCCTGGTAGATGACAATAGCCAATCAGTGATGGAGAAAGGTCAGGGGAGCTTTGCTATGAAATAATGACGAAGGATTGTTTGAAGTGTTTTTAATAAGTTAACTCAAAAACCACCGATCTGACTCCAAATCTGCCCAAATTATCCCCACCTGCCCAAAGCAATTTTTACCTGCAAAATCTGCATGAAAACCACCCAATCTGGCAACACTGTGTATGGCAGGCAGTTCTATCATTTAAGTCACGCTTTGAAAAATATTGCGGCTAGTCATTGATTTTTTTTCCATATACTTGATATCAAGCAACATTTGTTCCACACTAGCACTCAGCCAGCTGAAACTTTTTCACATTTTATTAAAATACTTTTGCATTGCATGTTTGGTGGTTCGGTGTTGATTTTTTATTTTAAATGAAGTTTGAGTCAAATAAATAAGAAAAAATATTCCTAGTTTTAAATTTATTTTTGAGTAATTTTTTTTTTTTAAAGAGACACTTTGCTGGAGTTTATTCAACTTTCTGTTTGACGCAAGGCCTGTGGGTTAGATAGATAAATACCGTACTTAATTAATCCCGGAGGGGAACTCGAGAAATAATATAAAATAGATATAATGGTAAAAGGGTTCATTTAAAAAAATAAAATAAAACACGACAGAGCTACTGGACTGGCCGCCACTCGCATCAGTGCTGCAAGTGTAGAAAGTGTACTCTGTACACTTCGGATTAGATAGAAGACAACAAAGTTCGATGTTTTTATTTTTATAGTGAATTTACCTGCTGACAACATCGTTGTTCGTGACTTGCTCAGGCCTTTCATCTAACAAACATTTATTTATTTATTTTGTCCCTGCTTCTGGGAAAGCTATTACCGAGTTTAAAAGCATTACGGTAAATAAACCTAGCGTTTCACATTCTTTGCTCACAGACTCATGTTTGCGCTGTTGTTCTGCGTATTATTTTTGTACTACTAGTGCTTAGCGTATTTTTAGTTGAATGATTTTCTTAGTTCATATCTTAGATTTTATTACCGTTTTTCTTTTACATTTTACACTTTTGGTGGATGTAACTGGGACTCTGTGGTACACAATTTCGTTCCACCACATGTACCACATGTGGTGCGTATGACAAATAAAGAAACTTTGTTTCTTTCTCGTACCGTATCGTTCTGAACCGTGGCATAAGCGTATCACTAACTCGTTATTTTCATAAAAACAAGCTCCGTTATCCCAAGATTATAAACAACTGATTTAGATCATCTAGATTAGGAGGGTCGCACTCAGTTACCAAAAGGGGCCAAAATTTAAAAACTTTGTCCGAGCCACTTCCAGCTGATACCTAACTCGAGTCGGATCTTTTTTGGTTGCAGGTTCATGACTCACTTGACGTTCTGTTGCTCTTTCCACATCAGAATCAATAATGACAGAATGATCCAGCCGTCTTTCTGGCTTCAACTTAGCCAGCTGCCAAGAGAAGTCTAGTCTACATTAAAGTATGTATTTATCTTTTTTTGTTTTAAGAAAAAAATTAGAAGATATAAAATATTTGACCTTTAAATTATCGTCTTGGAAAACCAGATTTGGTCCATGGCTCTCGAGTTTGACATACGTCAGGGGTTTTGTATAAAAATAACTAAAAATATTAACCTGTAATCACAAGAAACTCAGCTTTGTTATGATGAGATAACATATGTTGAGATAAGGTCATGAAAATTCAATTCTAAGCGTGTCCTCTTTGGGCTTCCGTACAAAAACGTATTACACAACCCCTTCATAAACAGTAAAACGCATGTAGTGTGCAGCTTTTTTCACATCAGTATTACAGTGCTTGTTTTTTTTTCTCCTTTCGATCACAGTTTCAGTTCAACATGCTGGAAAGCAGCGCGTCGACTCGTTCACGATAAGAAGCAGAGCGGAATAAATTAACACTTCGTTAGCCATGCTTGGAGACAGTAGTGTAGTTGCTTCCTGTCATGTGTTGCAACACAATTACTGTTTCTCTGCTGCGAGGATCGTTTTCCCTCATGGCCGGCCTGACCCGTCTGTAGGATTCACTTACTGTATGACATCTAATAGCATCGCGAAAGGAGTTTATTCATAGTGCGTACGTGCTAAAGCTGGGTTCGACTTTTTGCTTAAACCAGATGAAGTGAGCCGGTTTTCCTTCCTTCCTCCTGTTCGCTGCTGATCGATGAGTCGTGCTTGGTGTGGTCGGGGGCACAGAGGGACCGTCACCTTCGTCTCAGCCATCTTCAGACGGCAGTGGCGAAAAGAAAGACCTGGATGAGTGGCATAACCTTCAGAGTTGAAAGGTCCGCGAGGACAGCCTGTAGCGTGTTTGACAAAGAAAGCGCAAATTAGACCAAAGCAGCCACAAAAAAAAACTAAATTAAAAGACACTCGTGATAATAGTGAAGCCAAGCCTCCCTGTCCTTATAGAATCACTAGAAGAATAAATTTAGAGACCCTATCGTGTTTAGAAAGACGGTCTAAAATTTCAAGCCGAGCGTTCTAAATATAAGGTAAGGAGCGGCGTGTTATGATATCTTCTCTCAAGTGGGGCAGGTGGAAGATGAGCTAGCAAATAGTGCGCCTGCCATAAGAGGAGGGGGGCAAAAAGGGCAAAGGGCGAAGAATTCACAAGAACTGTATTAGGGGTTAGCATAACAACGCGAGGCTAAAACTCGCCTGTCTGGTTTATTTGACAGACAGCTTGAGTTGGAGGTTCTGCACAACAGCGCTGCAGCTGAGCCAACGGTGATGGGTCTGTCGTTCGTTGAAGGAATGCATATCACCCGCTGCCTTTCATTCCAGACGGCTGATGTAAAGAAAAGTTAAGAGCTGCAGCCTTTTTGGTCTAATTTAGAATAAATGTCGTGCAAAAATCTCATGAGTGTCGTGAGTTGCTGCAATCAAAATGTTGATGACTTTTTGGTTAGTTTTTTTTTTGTTTGTTTGTTTGTTTGTTTGTTTGCCATTACCGGTAGTTTTTTTTTTTTTTTTTTCTTCCTTTATAAAATGTGTTGTAAAAATTCTAGAATTGCGCCGCCCGGGGTGGCTGCATGTTCGAGTAGTTCTTGTGATTTTGCTTTTGGAAACTTTAATTCCTCTTTTTATGGAGGTAAATCAGCTTTTTTTTTTGGATGATTGTTTCCTCTGGTATCAGATGCTGTGCAGCTGGAAGGATTTTTATTGAAACTAGGCCTGTCGCGATAAATAATAAATCAATTAATCGCATGAAAAATGAAAATTATCGACCTCATTTTCATGATGGGAGACTGCAACGAAGCCAAGATTCAACTTGTCTGCTGGATTCCTTAGATAGAGAACTTTACTAATTGGCTTTTATGTATGTGAATGTTCCTGTAAAGTGCCCTGAGACAACTTTGTTGTGATTTGGCGCTACATAAATAAACTGAATTGAATTGATGTATCGGCTTTATCATTTCTTTGTGTCTCTCTCTTTCTACTGAAGACACTGGATGACAAAAGGCTCAACTACGGTGCTCTTCACTGACCCCTCCATTTCTCTTTTTTTCTATTTTCTTTAAAATCCGTTTTAATCATCCAAAACCGCGTTTTTGGATCGTTATAAGAAGCTATGCTATAAGCTAACAGGCCGACCTCGGGAAAAAAAAACTCCGTCTTGTCAAAGCTCTAAAATTCATGGTTGAAACCTGTGCCTTGGGCTAAAAAGTTGTTCTCTGCAAAAAGAAGCTGAGAACTTGTTTAATGATTTTTTTTTTATTACAAGCTTTGTGTGAAAAATGCTATGCTAAAGAGCTGAAACCACACCGAGCATCCGTCATTTTGAGAACCAAAAAACAGGAAGGAGACAGCCCATGTCACGTCAAGGGGCCTCCCTCCCATTTTCTTAGAGACACGCTGCTCGCTCCCTCACTATTCATCCTTCGGTTCAAACAGTCTTGTACTGCCATCCAGTGGTCAAAAAAGGTACTACACTCAAAAAATTTAACCAGCACTGCTTCTTAAATTTGACAATTACTAAATATTGTCAAATTTCAAATAATATCGTTTATTGCAATAATTTCTGAGACAATTAATCGCTCAGCAAAATTTGTTATCGTGACAGGCCTAACTGAAACTTTTTAGTTTTGGACTTTGTTATGATGCATAACCACAACATTAAGGTGTTTTTTTTTGGTTTTGTGTTACAACCGGGAGCAGCTGATTAACATCTCAAAAGCTCAAATAATATCTCAGCTACAGCCCCAAATCGCAAATGAGTTGAAAAGGAGGTTCCGTAGATGCATTCCCATCTCCCTGCTGGCTGTGCTTGAGTGCCTGACCACTGAGACCTGGAATTGGCAGGAAATATGGCTTATGACAGCAGAAAGACCGTGATCATCCTCCGGCACCTGCAGCCGGCTGTCCGTAGCGACCTGGGAGGAGTGCCATTGCTCTGGGAGGAGTTCTGCCCGGCATTCAGGCGGTCCTGCAGCCCGGAGGAACCCAGAGACCAGCCGAGTCTGGGTGGACGGATCGGACGACATCTGCGGTCAGTTTCTTCAGATCCGCTGTGGGACGGACCTTTACAAGAGATCCTTCCTGCCCACAACCATCAGTATCTTTAACATCTCTTAATGAAACGAGGATAACGAGTTACAACAACAAATAATTTCCCTTTGGGATTAATAAAGTATTTTTGAATTGAAATGAATTGAATTTCACTTTCGGTGTCCTGGGATTCTTGTGTTTTGAGTTCCGTTTCCCTGGAGGTCAGTTCCTGATTGGTCCCTGTATGTTTTCAGCTGATCGGTCTTTTGTTTTTCTTCTGGTGGCGCAGAGGTTAGAGAAGGTGAGCCTGTGATCGGGAGGTTGTCTTCAAATCCCCTGACCGTTACATCAAAATCTGGATGGGAAAGGGGAAGCCCCATTATGGGCCCTTAACCACCATCTGCTTCCCCAGGTACCCTAGATGGCAGCTCTCTGCTCCACACAGAAGGCTGTGGTTGTGTCAGGAAGGACATCCGGCGTAAAAACAAATGCAAACTCTTTGTGCGAATGAGTTCGCTGAAGAAGGTAGCAGCCGAAAGAAGAAGAAGAAAAAAGTTTATTACTGGAGCTTCTCGAGTCACATCTGGATTCCCGGGTCTGAATCTTACCGATCCTGTGACACAGAATGTGTGTTGTGGATGACTCTCAGCTACTACCACATCAGAGTTTACCTCTACGTTAGTAAAACGGACTCGGTTACAGCTATTTTTGCGTTGGCTAAAACCAGTATGCTGTGGCAGCCATCTTTAATCGGGTTTAGTTTTAAAGTTAATCAGTTTCATTTAAAATTAGTCTTGCAGTTCATGAGATATTTTGCAAACAGACCGACACATGAACACCCACAGCGGTGGGGAACAATGAAGAGGATCCCTGTTGGGACATGTAGTGTGAGGACGTGCCGAGTTGGTGGGCCGGTGCACGTGCTGGAGTAAAACCAGCTGGATGTACATGTAGAAGACTGGGTTACTGGAACCGCTCGTTAGAGACTATTTGCAGCCTTCTGTGAGTACGTGGGGAGAAATGGCGTGTGTGTAAGGAGGGATGAGAGATAGGGTGTGGACTAGACTGCAAGCATCAAACACACTAATGCAGGACAAACGTACCTCAGCCGAGGCCGGTGATGTCACCTCCATCAGGTTCTCGGCGCGGAAAGCAAACACTGCAGCCGCGAGAACTGTAGAGGGAGAGTGTGGGGGAGCGGGAAATATTAACAATCAAAAGTAAAGGGAGAAAACTGAAGTGTCAAAAATAACCTACCTGCAATCACCTCCAGGGAATTATAGCCCAGGATTCGATCCCAAAGCAGCAGCAGCTGATCAGTGGACAGGTAACCAGAGAAGGCCCGCACCATCCACTTAAAGGCTATCCTCAGGCTGGGGTTAGAAAAAAAAACAAACGCGTGCCTGTAAAGCCAGCTACGACGAGCTAAAACTACAGCTGGCTGTGGCTGATCAGATCTGCACTAAATGAAAGCCTCCATGACCGAGAGGAAGCTGCGATTCCAGCCTTAAACACAAGATGGCAGCAGCTCATAGGTTTTGCACCGGGCATCACTCACATCTGTCCAAGTGTAAAACAGAAGACATGTAGGTCAAACAGATGCTAAAAATAACCATTTCTGTCTGTTTGTTTCGTGAGAAACCAAGACGGATGCAGTTTGTGCAGGACATTTGTGAACTTTAGTTACAGCGATGCTCCGAGGACTAAAGCTGGCCGTCTTGAACTGGAACCTGCTGGGTTTTATGATGCGTTTCCATTATCAGTTTGCTCATTTCAGGTGGTGAAACAGTCCTTCAGGTTCGACACCAAACCTTCCTGCTGATCTACAGACACACAGATTTTTCACTTTCACTGGATGGCATTAATCTGTCCTCCAGCTCTAAAGTTAAAAATCTTGGTGTTATTTTTGATCAGGACTTGTCTTTTACCCCCCACATTAAAAACGTTACTAGAACCTCCTTCCTCCACCTGCGTAAAATCACAAAGATTAGAAACATCTCGTCCAAAAATGATGCAGAAAAACTGGTTCATGCATTTGTCACGTCTAGACTGGACTATTGTAATGGTTTATTATCTGGGTGTCCAAATACTTCTTTAAAAATATATTCAATCAATCCAAAATGCTGCTGCCAGAGTCTTAACTGGAGTTAGTGGGAGAGATCATATCTCTCCAGTTTTAGCTTCTCTCCACTGGCTCCCTGTCAAATCCAGAATTGAATTGAAAATCTTACTTCTAACCTACAAAGCCCTCAACAACCTAGCTCCATCTTATATTTGAGATCTTATTGTTCCATATTTTCCTAACAGAGCACTTTGCTCTCAGACTGCAGGTTTACTTGTGGTTCCTAGAGTTTCCAAAAGCAGAGTGGGAGGCAGAGCTTTCAGTTGTCAGGCTCCTCTCTTGTGGAACCAACATCCATTTTCTGTCCATGAGGCTGACACGTCGTCCAGTTTTAAAACTGGGCTCAAGTCTTTCCTTTTTGATAAATCCTATAGTTAGGGTCAGCTTGGGTTTCCTGAGCTATCCCTTAGTTACGCTGCTATAGGCTTAGACTACTGGTGGACAAACTGACCACATTTCTTCACTCTGCTACTGTCTTTACTCGCTCTAGCTGTTTTGTCTTTTGTCTTTCAGGTACATCTGCACCTACATCTGGTTCTGCTCGAGGCTTCTTCCTTTTAAAAAGGGACTTTTTCTTTCCACTGTTACCACTGTGCTTGCTCAGGATGGGAGACTGCAACGAACTGAAGATTCAACGACTCTGCTGGTTTCCTTAGATAGAAAACTTTGTATGTATGTGAATCTTCCTGCACAGTGCCCTGTGAACTTCTGTGGTAATTTTGGCGCTATATAAATAAACTGCAACTGAACGGAGGACGGAGGCGTCGACTCACGGCTGAGCCTCGATCTGCCGAAGGTGGTAGAAGAGCTGAGGCAGGTGGGTCTGGAGCAGCCGCTCAAACTGCAGGCAGAGGGCCACGATGCCCTGCAGAGACAAACGGGAAACAGTGCGACGTCCATACGGTCACGAGGACAAAAAAGAAAAGAAAGTTCACCTTCTTTTGATTCTTCTTCTTCTTTTAGGCAGCAGGTCGTAAAAACAATGATCTGGTCTTTACCGGTGTCTAAAAACACTCAACAGGTTCCACCACTTCAACAAAAACAAACCAAAGTTAAAAAGCTGTGTGTCTGCGTCCTCCGTTAGCAGCACTGACTTGAAGTAGTCATATTCAGTACGACTTTATGAGTCGCTCACGTAAGTTGTGTTGTGATTCTGGCCTTGTGGCTGCAAAACAAGCCCAAATCATCAGCACTCCACCACCGTGCACAACACTTGGCATGAGGCGTTTGTGCTGATGGGTTTTGTATTACTCGTTATGGTCATGCATCTCTACTTTGGTGTCATCTGTCTAAAGGACAGTGTTCCAGAGGTCCCGTTCATTTAAATTAAACTTTTACAAATGTTTCCTGTTCTTAGTTTTATTTTAAGAAGAGATTTTCTCCTGCAACCTTTTCAAACAAGCCACACTTGTTCAGTCTTTCTTCCTGGACTGAAGTTCACCTTTAACTGAGGTCTGAGATGGAGCTCCTGGGTTTTCAATGAACGTTGCACGGTCTGACCTTGGGGTGAGCTTGCCGGGACATTCACTCCTGGGATGACTGGAAGAGGCCTTGAATGTTTTCCTCTTGTGAATAAACTTTCTCTTTGTAAGACGATGGACTGCAGAAAGTTTGGAAATGACCTTTTGACCCTTCCCAGACTGATCTGCGGCAATGGTTGCTCCTCTGAGGTCATTGCTGATGTCTTTCTACTTTGGCATTGTGCTAGCATTCACCAGTTAGTTTCAGAGCAGCAAACTACAAAAACTGCTGAACCTCTTAAATCCTACAGCAGAGGTGGACGTAGTGTTTCCACACACATCTTCATCACAGTCTGAAGGTTCACGACGCTTTCACACTATTGTGATCCATTTTTCTTCCGTACATTTTCCGGCACGGTTCTCGTCTTGCAGTTTTTAAACTATTTCAACAAATCATAAATTAAAACGTTCAGCTCTTTCAGGACAATCCTGCTATGACTTTTGGTATTCGTCCAACTTTAGCTTTTTGAAATATTTAGCCTTTTCTGCCATTTTTTTTCTCATAGAAGATGAACAGAGCTCATTTTACATCCTTCAGATCTTTAGCTCCGTTTACAACCTTTTACTGTTTTGTTTTGCTTCAGCTTCTTTCAGCTTCCTTGTGCAAATGTAAACTTTTTTTCCAGCTACTTTCAGCTAATTTCAGCAGTTTTTCAGCTGTTTTGTGCTCCTGTCAAGATGTTTCTGCTAACAACAACATTTTTGTGCTAACTTCTTTCTGCTAATTTCAGCTCGTTATTCTCCTTTCAGCTGATTTCTGCAAGTTTCGGCTTTTTCTGCTATTTCAGTTACCGTCGTTATTTAGCTGGTTTTATGTTAATTTTAGTTTTTTCAGCTAATTCCACATTTTTTGCACTAATTTAAACTTTTTTCAGCCTAATTCAGCTACAATGTGCTCTCGCTACTTCCTACTGGTAATTTACGCTTCTTTCTGCTGTTTCAGCTACTTTTCAGCAGTTTTTTTACCAATTTAAGCTTTTTTCAGGCAATTTTCATTTTATGTGCTCATTTCTGCTTCTTTCAGCATAACTGGGCAAACGTGTTCTTTATGCTTCTGCTAATTTAAGCTTGCTTTATCTTTTCAGCTACCTTTTTAGCATTCTTAGCCAATTTCAACTGTTTTCAGATAAATTCAAGTTTTTAGTGGTAATTTCTGCTTTCAGCCTAAATAACTCCTTTCAGCTAATTCAGGCTTGTTATGCTCTTTTCAGCTTTTTTTTTTTAGCTGATTTCAGCTTTTTCTGCTATTTCAGCTACTATTAAGCTATTTTAAAACTAATTTTAGCTTTTACAGCTAGTTCCACATTTTGAGCTTATTTCAGCTCTTTCTGCTTTTTTCGTTTGTTTAAGCTTTTTTCTGCCTATTCAGCTACTTTTCAGCTATATTTTGCTAATTTCAGCTTTTTTAGCTGATTTCCTAATTTTTGTCCTCATTTCTGCTTATTTAAATGTAATTCAGCAAATGTGTTCTTTCTGCTTACTTCTGCTATCTTAGGCTTGTTGGTCCATTTCAGCTACATTTCAGCTTTTTTTTTTTTTAGCTAATTTCAGCTGTTTCTCAGCTAGTTCTTCTGCAATAAGCATTCACACTGCATTTTCGTAGGAAATCCAATTCCTCTAGTTTTGTTTTTGTTTAATAAATAATGACCGGGTGGAATCTGTTGTGTTTTTGCACACTTGAAATTAAACAAAAATAAAAAATAAATCATTTTTTTACATCCTGATACATAAAATACACAAAACTGTAGAACTGAAAGGGCGGAGTTTCTTTTCCTTGTGCATGCTCATGCAGCAGAGTTCTGAGTTTGACATTTAGCACGTAAAAAAAAAAAAAAACTTACTGAAGGAGAAGAAGAGATGGAGTGCAGCCTGAAGAAGTAGCGGGTGTACATTTCCCGAAAGACGCTGTACAATTTGGACGGCTCGTTGTACAAGAAGCATAAGGGAGCCACTGAGGGACAAACATCCACAAATTCACAGCCTCTACAGATCCTCACTCTGCAATCCGTTCATTAAAAGCAGCCAGTTCTACTCACCGTACATCGAAAAGCCGTGAAAAGGAATTACACCTGTTTAAATGAAAATGTAATTTGAATCTAAACTGTTTTATTTGTGTGGTTTAGAAACTTTTATTCTTTTTATGAGTGTTTTTTTTTTTTTTATCAAAATGGAGGCTCACCATTGGGAGGATAAAGAACAGCACGCTCCTCGTCTCCCACTGTCCCCGAGAGACAAACACAAAGACAACAATCAACACCATGTGTGGTTTCACTTCAACATGAGAAGGTGTCGGCACGTCGTCCATAAGGTCTGCACTGAACTGGGCCCTGCAGCTGTTTGGATCTGCGCTCAGCCGAGGCCTTTAACTTTAAGACAATAATGTTCCTTAGAGGAAAAATCCACCACCTTACACAAACGTTTATAAAAAACTATTTTTTTTCCCAACAAAAACTAGTTGTTGTTCTTTTCACTGTATAAGTCGCACCTGTTTGAATAAATTTGCATGCCTGCGACTTCTACGGCAAAGCGACTTATTTACGTTTTTTCCAATATTTATAATCCAATTTTTGACTGAGAGCTGACGATTTCATTCATTCTGACATGGAAAATATTGAACCCTACCATTTTCAGCCACTAGAGGGCCCTCGCGTAATATGGCAAGCCAAGTGTCTCATTAATAGATAAAAGTGGCTATTAATGAGATACTTGGCTTGCCATACAAACCACCTTCATCTCGCTACGAAACTCCTGGAGCAAACGTCAAATCAGCTGCATTTCAACGCCCAGGTGAAATAAGTCACATCTATTATGTGTCACCACTGACCACCCAGAAACATGGGCCGGTGTTGTGCCAAAAATCAATTGACTGCCTAATGGCAGCCGCGGGAGTGTGCACGAGAGGACTTTAACAAGAATTTAATAAGATTAACATCTAAAACAATTATTTGTTTGCTCGAAATTATAGCAAAGATGTTTCGGTTGAACTTTTCCTTAATAAATGCACTTCAATGGTCAAATCAGCTGCATTTCTCCTGGGCAGCGCGGAAAATGCAGCTGATTTGACGTTTGCTCCAGGAGTACCATATGGCAACCCAAGTATCTCATTAATAGCCACTTTTACCTATTTGGCTTGGCTTGCCATATCAGTCGAGGGCCCTCTAGTGGCTGCAAATGGTAGTGTTCAATATTTTCCATGTCAGAATGAATGAAATCGTCAGAGCTCAACCAAAAATTGGGTTATAAATATGGGAATAAAAACGTATATTAGTCGCTTTGGTGTAGAAGTTGCAGGACTTGCAAATTTATGCAAAAGGGTGCGACTTATATGGCGAAAAATACGGTACCTTACAGATCTGCAGAAGCGGTGCCTCTGCTACTGATCCCCTGATTTCAGTCAAGTCCGCGGGAGTCAGATATTCTGAGCCATGGAGCGTCTGATGCTGCAGCCTGCATGCATGTGGAACTGCTTTTTTTTTTTTTTTTGCACTCAGTGTTTACTTGCACAACATGTAAATTAATTTTAGCTCTTCACATCCAAACAGACGAGATGGGAAAGACGTTCCTTGGGTTAAGTTGAAGTCCGTCATGGCAAATTTTTACAGAGGCTCTCAAAAGTAAAAAGCGAAGCATCACTGAGTGAGCTTTTATAAAAATCTAAAGTACAGAGACAGAAGTAAAATCAAACTACATTACTGAAGGGAACGCATTATTTTATAATTTGATAATTATGGGAACAAATGATGCATTTATAATGGATTTTCACTATGGTTGTTTTTTTTTCCCCTAAAGAACACTAGAGGGCAGAAATGTTCATGTGAGGTTACGGGAGATATTGAAGAAATTCTAACAAAACAAAACAAATTCAGAACTTTTAGACTTTTGTCAGAAAAAAAAGGTGTTCATTGACTGCACCAAAAAAATACAAACACAAAAAACTAATAAATGAATGTGTTGCTGATAGTCTTATTTTATTAGTCTTATTTTTTATCTGGACATTTTATCTGTATTTGAACTGGAACATGGTGCTGCTGTCTCCCTTGAAAAACAGGAGATCTTGTGACCTCAGACTCACCAGGTTGGGTATATAAAAGTAAAATAAAAATAAGAACATATAGATGGGGGGGACAATTATTGGATCTTACCATGAAGGGAGGATCTGGGCGGAGTGGCGCTGCTGTACTTGAAGTGCTCCAGGACGGCGGTGTCTCGAGAGAAACACAGCAGAACCTGAGGAGCACACGGTTGGTGTTAAATGCGGATGAAACGTTCAACGTTCTGAAAGACTGGAGAAAACATTGATCAAGATCCCTAAAAGATTACAGCAATCTCTCGTTTATCACGGGGTTTAAGAGACCACGCCCCCAGCGATAAGTGAAAAACCGTGAAGTAGGAATACAGTAGACCAAATTCAAGTTTCACTCCCAATCTCCCTCCTTATGCGTAAAAAAACATTTTAAATACTGTAATATTTTAAATAAACAATAAATTGTTTATTTAAAATATTACAGTATTTAAATTTAAATTGTAGAGAAGGACAGAAAAGGGTTAACCCTTCACGCAGCTGTGGCACGGATCAAAAATGTGGGTGTGGCAGAGAGCCGCAGGTGGCAGAGAGTGGAGATCATGACAGGCTGCAGAGGGAGCTTCTCCCTGCACCTGTGGGCTGCACACAGGTGTTAAATCATTTAAAATAATTTATTTTAAATAGACAATTCATGCTGCTCGTGTGGCTCATCCATCAATCAGCCAACTGTGTGTCATGTCCACTCTTACTTTGAAAAAACGCGAAAGAGCGAGTGCGCGAAAGTCGAACTGCGAAGTAGCGAGGGACTCGGTCTGTCACGATAACGAATTTTGCTGGGTGATTAATTTTTTCAGAAATTATTGCGATGAACGATAATCCATCCATCCATCCATTCATTATCTTTACCCGTTTATTCCATTTTGGGTCACGGGGGTCGCCGGTGCCCATGTCCAGCAATCACTGTGCGAGGGGCGGGGTACACCCTGGACAGGTCGCAAGTCCATCACAGGGCCACATAGAGACAAACGAGACAAACAACCATTCACTCTCTCACTCACACCTAGGGACAATTTAGAGTTACCAATCAGCCTAACATGCATGTTTTTGGTCTGTGGGAGGAAACCGGAGCACCCGGAGAAAACCCACGCATGCACGGAGAGAACATGCAAACTCCACCCAGAAAGGCCCCTGGATCGGGGTTTGAACCAGGGACCTGCTCGCTGAGAGGCAGCAGCTCTACCAGTTGCGCCACCGTGCTGCCCATGAACGATAATATTGTTTGAAATTTAACAATAATTAATTGTCAAATTTTAGAAGAAATGTTGATTTGTTTTGTGTGTAGTACCTTTTCTGACCACCTGATGGCAGCATAAGACTGTTTGAACCAAAGGATGGATAGTTGAGCTGCATCTCTCTTTAAGAAAAATGGGAGGGAGGGCCCTTGACATGACATGGGCTGACATGGTGACATGGCGGACACTCGGTGATTTGAGCTCTTTAGCATAGCATTTTTCACTCAGTCAACAAGTTCTCAGCTTGTTTTTGCAAAGAAAAACAACTTTTTACACAAAGGCACAGGTTTCATAGGATTTGTGAATTTTGAAGCTCGACAAGACGGAGGTTTACTCCCGAGGTCGGCCTATTAGCTTAGCTCGTAGCTTAGCTTCTCAGCTTAGCTGCTTTTAACGATCTAAAAACGCAGTTTTGTATGGTTAAAACAGATTTTAAAGAGAAAGGGAGGAGTCAGTGAAGAGCACCGGAGTTGAGTCGTGTCTTCAGAAAGAAAGAGACACGAAGAAAAGATAAAGCCGGTCAATGAAAATGAGGTCGATAATTTTCATTCATCGTGCGATTAATTGATTTATCGTTTATCGCGACAGGCCTACGAGGGACTACTGTACAGGAAGCTTTATTGGTGGGAACAATTTACAGGGTTGTGCACATCACTACAGTTTGATGGTTTTGTTTGTCAGATGAGAGTCCAGTAAAAGCCTCACACTTCCTGTTGGGTTCCTTAAACTGCTCCAGAGCAGTTTCGGCACGTTACACTGCTGTCAGAGCGTGTCTCAACTTTGCATCCACGTGTCATGAATGGCAGCACCCAAGATTGTTAAGTAATAGTCTTATTGCCTGTGGACGGGATAATGTGGTTAATGTCCTTTTTATTAGTTCTGCTGCTGATGGAGGCCTCGAGCAGCCACGACTGGAGCCAGGGATTTAGACGTACTGAAGTAGACGCAGTCGAGCTTCGACTGACTACTCAGTTCACAAAGCGACCAAATACGAAGTAGATTTGTTCATCGCAGTCAGATTTCTGTTCGGTTTTTTAAAGTCTTTTTTTTTTTTTTTCACATGCTGGAAGAAAGAAACCAGCGCTCTATATAGTCTTAGATAGATTGTATATTAATGATTTATAAAAACTAAACTAAATGATGTTAGGTTGTCCCCAGTTTGCTTAAAAAGAGTGTTTATTGAATGCAAACCCGAGTGGTTCATTCTTATAAATAATATATTTCTGTATGCTAGGGGCTAAGGTTTTAGCAGTGATGTTAATGTTGGGTTTTGCAAACTTTGTAAGCTCAGCTTTTATTGTGATATTTCTATTTATTTTTCTAGAATACTGTGAAGAGTGAGCAGTTGCATATTAATTCAGAGCTTTATTAGCTTATAATTTTCACTTATTATTAACACATACTGACAATAAATTAAATAATAAATGACATTTTCAGCTAGATTCATTTTAGGTTGTTGGTATGAAAGGAGGTGAAGCTGTGAGTTCAGCTGAAATCGCTGTCGATTTAAACAGACCAGCGGGAGACAGAGAGAAAGAGACACGTAAAAAGACAAAGAGACACCAAGAGAGAAAAAAAAGACAAAAACAGAAGAAAAAAAAAGACAAACAGACAAATCAACAAACGCACAGACAGATAAGCCTCAGTCCTGTGCTCCACCTGAGCTGTGTGTCGGTGTATTTATCTGTGGAAACAGCTTTTCTTGTGTTTTACGACTTTCATCTCTCATCATTTTGTTTGTGATGATTGTGACGCCTCACAGCAGAGGGAGGACAGTCGCAGCGTATACACATCAAATACAGTAGTCCCGCGCTACTTCGCGGTTCGACTGTCGCGGACTCGCTTTTTCGCGATTTTTCAACGATTGTCATATTTTAATATTACTCACGTGATTGGGACGGTACGGGATAAAAAGTTAACGAACAATAACTTCACGCAGGCGTCGCTATTTTGTAGTTTTCTTTCAATAAGCCTACACAGTAACGCCAGTCAAAAGAACTACACTACCCAGAAGCCAACAGTACTTCCAGCCGCTGCTTTGTGCCGAAATGGAGGGAAAGTTTTGCAAAGTCAGAAGTAACGATCCATCTATGAAGCTCAAAGAACAGGCAGGAAAGTTGCAAATAATCCTGAAGCTCAATTAGCCACGTGCACAACGACCTGGACGCCCCGGTGGGTTTCGTCACTGCAGGGTAGGTCTGAAGAACCAGAACCGAGCTGCTGCTGGTCTGCAGGGCTGGTGAGTCAAATTTTGCAGTACTGTACAGTAAATATGTGTGTGTTGTTAAATTACGTAGGTTTAAGAGTTTAGAACATTGCAAGAGTGTGGGAAGGGTTTAAAAAGCCTTAAAATATATCAATACAGTAGTCCCTTGTTTATCTCGGGGGATCCGTACCCTGAAGCCCCACGATAAGTGAAAAACCACGAAGTAGGAATAGTAGTACAAGTAAGTAGTACCGGTAGTTTATTTTAGTATTTATATCTATAAAGGCGTTTTAAACCCTTCCCACACTCTTGCAATAATCTAAACAATGTTTCTAAACTCTTAAATGCTTTAAAAGAGCACAGAATGTCCTGATTTCAGCTCCCTGCCTCCTCTGCTCTTTGCCACATGCAAGCGCTTCAGGCCACGCCCACTTCCTCGCTCTGCACGGTGAACAGCTGACCAGCTGCAACAGGAAGTTTATCCTGCAGCTCTGGGCTGCACAAATAAGCAGCAGGTGCTAAATATTTTTAAATAATTCATTTTAAATAAAAAGTCCATGCCGATCGTGCGGCTCATCCATTAATCAGCCAAAGTTGTGTGTCATGTCCAATTTTATTTTGAAAAACCACGATAGAGCGAGTCCGCGAAAAACGAACCGCAAAGTAGAAGGGGACTACTGTAAATACTAAAATTAATACAGCGTTCCTACTTCACGGTTTTTCCACCTATCGCGGTGGTGTATGGAACATAAACCCAGTGATAATTGAGGAACTACTGTATTACATGTCTGTGTAAACGTTTGTGCTTTACAAACTGCACATTTAGGCTTTGTGGACAAAGCAGAGACCATCAAACTAAACTAGTCAACATGGCACCTTCCCTCAGGGTTGTGTAAAGTGTGGATTCTTTATTCTTCAGAACTTGAGTGCAGTAAAACTGCAACAAAACAGGTATTTTGTTGGATTTATTTGTTCAACTCATGTCATTTCCTTTCTGAAGACCCTCAGGTTTGTTAAATCGAGGTAAATGATGGGTTTGCAAACAGCGAGTGTTTGGTCTACAGATGATTCAGCCTCAAAGACGAGACGTCTTCACTCCAACACACCTAAATAAACACAATTCAAGTGGCCGACACATGGCTTCTCATCTTCTGGGAAACTGCGCTTCAGGTTTTCTCAGGAACTTTCTATACTTTATCCTCATATAAGCTTTTGAATAACATCCTGACATGAGTGGTTCTTTCACCGCCTAGTGCGTCTGCCATTAGTCAATATTGATGGAGGTTTCTGAAGATTTGTTCTGGATGCACGTGTGTTGATTCGTTAGCCACCAAGGAGCATGACAGGCAAACAAACGCTAAGTAAACGCGTTGCCAAGTGTCTAAATATGTTTATCAGTCGAGTATCAAAAACAAATAGAGCAGAGACTAGTAGAGAAGCTAATATTACAGAGTCGTCCTCGTCTGGACTGACTGAATATCAGTAGATAAAGACGAAGGCTGTCAGACCGAAAGCGTCATGAAGAGTAAACATTTACAACAATCAAACCCTGGGAGACGTTTGAACTGTTCACTACGGAAACAAGGTTTAATTCATGCGCGGTAAACAGTTAGCAGAAACAGACATGAACTCTAAAAACATTTAAGCTGTTGTGACATACAATGTAGAGAGCGATTTATTTTAATTACCTAGGACAAATAAAAGAAATTAACATGTCAATATCACTGAAATGAAAGATTGTGATCTAAACTAGAGCTGGTCAAATAAACGGCGGACCCAAATTACTTCCGACAAACAACTGATTCAATGCGCTTCCATATATTTAGGCAGAAATTGTAGAAGGAGAACTAATGAAATGACCAAAACAAGCCTACCTGATAGAGGAAGTCTTCAAACACAAAGTAGTAGTCGTCGTTGCTGGCAGTGAGCTTCACATCCTTCAGAAGAAAAAAAGAGCTAAACAGCTCAAATTTGATTTTTTTGACCATTTCTAAACACATACAACCGTATCAGCGTTTCCCCTATCATTATACAAGCAGGGCGCCCCACACTGTCAACAGAACCGAGTGCCCTGCCTACCAAACCCCGCCCCAACAACTGTTGGTATGGATGTAGCGCAGGGCAAAATACAAGCGTACTAGCAAAAATGCTACTGACATTCCTCGCCCCCTCCCCACAACAATTACTGGCAGCAATGTAGCGCCAAATACAGATGTGACTCCTCCCCGTTGACAAAAACTGGCAGCAACCGTAGCACTAAGCTAGCGAGAGGGCATCACAGACGTTACCCCCCCCCCACCCCGTTGTCAATAAAAATCAGCAGCAACATAGCGCTAAGCTAGCAGGCGGACAAAGCTAGCAGGCGGGCAAAGTTAGCAGGCGAGCAAAGCTAGCAGGCGGGCAAAGCTAGCAGGTGGGCAAAGCTAGCAGGCGGGCAAAGCTAGCAGGCGGGCAAAGCTAGCA